GCTCCTTGAAGCAAATTTCACGAAAAAACCAATGGAACCACTTTCAGAACCTCAAAGTTTTGTATAAACGGAGTTATAAGCGTTTAAAGTTTCCAAATTTTGTCCGACCTCTCCTATTGACTCGATCCACTGTGCGCCGGTGCAAATGTACAACTGTTCTTCTCACATGAGGGCTAAGTCTGAAGTCCGGTCAACTGCACGAAAAAGGACCCGACCATTAGCGCGCTTCACCCAGCGGAACGAACGTTGCTCCAAGCATGCGCCCGGAGCGCTTTCGTAACCCCCTTTTTCCTCCATTTAAACCCATTTAAATAATCGACTCGAGGCGAGGTGGATAGCGATTGTTTTACATGCATTCAAACGGGCTGAAAAGGCAAGAGGATGTCACTGATCGTGGGTCGAACCGGGCGTATTTCGACGGCGAAAGTCCGCAATTACATATCTCCACTGAAAAAAAATTCTCGGCGTTTTTACCAAGGTCCGTTGGCACCTTTACCATTTCACTTTTTTTTACCATTTATCGGTAATTCTACCAAGAGAGACTGGTAAGCTTACCTAAAAACCGGTATTTTTACTGTTTTTTCAGGTAAGAATACCACTTTTATCGGTAATCAAATCCCGGTAACTTTCTCTCCGCCCCTATATTATTTTTTTTTAAATGAGAACAAATGGACATCATTCCTTGAAGTTTATGCAGAATTTTCTCAGCGCAGAGAAGGAAAATCACGGCAGTTTGAAAAAATTGCCGTTGAGTAGTTCCCCGTTTAAAAAATCAAGTATGACAAGAAGTCTGCGACGTCGCAAACCGAGTTATGTTACACCGTCGATTTATGCTATAAGGAATACTTCGTGCATAGGGTTTTCGTGTAACATATTTTCTTTTAGCATAAATACGTCCAACTTACTTGGCGTGTGCTTGCAGGTGGTTCAGGAGCAGGTCATGCCTCGGCCGGGGTCAGGGCCTAGGTTAATGCCACTTGGGTGCCCCCCCCCCTCCCCGCGTTATCTGGGTGGGACACCACGCAACACTTACGATAGCGGGGCACCTGATGCCCGTTCCGCACTGTCTCTTCATTTCCGGCGTTGGCGCATTCCTGTTTCCTCGGTGAATTTCTTCGAGGCAGGATCGGACATTTATGAAATTAGGAACTTCTATCTCCGACTCAAGCACCTATCCTACCGTACCAACGAAAAACGCCGCATGAGCCTTCAGATTTTGCCAGATTTCCACCAATAAAAACCGAAATTACAGGGCAAATCTTAAATTTCTTTCTTAAAATTTTTCAGACAATTTTGTTCGCAAGTTGATCTAAAACATCTGAAAATTTCAAAGAAAAATATGCATGAATGTCATCAAAAATGCATGTTTTATCAAGGGAAATTTGGCAACTCTCGAATGTTCATACGGCGTTCTTCCTTAGCACGGCAGTACCTGCAGAAAATCAAAAGAGAAAAAAGAGGAAGGGATGGAATAAGATAGGAGGAAAAGGGGGAGGGAGAAGGAGAGAATTGGACTACATTTTGCAACTCGGAACTAAAATTTCTGGCGCGCACCATACTGAGGATACTCCGGCCGAAAAATACAAGGATGAGATTCTTTGGAGCCTTTAACGAATGGTAAGAAAAGTAAAACAAAATTCACGTCGCTGACAAATAGCAGTTAAAACGCAGGTGACCCGCGGGACCAAAGTGAGAAGGAAAAGGGAGGGCAATCCAGCCAGTCACAATTTTCCAGGTAAGCAACATTGATTTTTCTCCATTAGATCCATTAAAAATATTGATATTAGGTGAGGCAAGCTTTCACGCCAAAAAGCGATTGCTTTGCATACAATCAATAGAGGAAAAACATTGTTGCCATCTTTCAAGACAGCCTCTGACTCCAGTTGAGTTATGCACGCCGGCGATACTTCGGAGACTTTAACGAACGGTGAGAAAAGTAAAAAAAAACTTCAGCGAGCTTCCAACAGCAGCTTAAAGGAAACAGGACTAAGATGTATTTAGTTTGCACTTTGTGTATACATTTATAAAAGCTACAGGGACCAACAGCATAGAATTCTGCATCTATACCTACTATTTTACAGATTAAATGTAACATTTAGCAATCCGATTATTGAAATTGATAGACAGAGTTGTAGGCGCAGAGGATGAAAGGGATGTAGGGGTCCTATTGGTGGAAGCTAGTGTTTGCAATGGATGAAGGAGGTAGGGAATAGACTAACTAACGGCAACCCTCGAGAGACCTACTGTTATTCCATCATTTTCTCCATTAGTCTATGGGAACCACCCACTTCTTCTTCTTTCCACTTCTTTCTTTTGTTTTCTTTGTCTATCGTTTTGTACATCAATTTTTTAGTCAGCCCTAGCTGTAGCACCAGTACTCCAAGCCTCCTGCAACGGTTTTTTTGTCGTCCTTATTTTGTTCTTGTTTTTTTCTCTGCGATGGTCCGATTAATGTTCTATGGAGTCTTGAAAGACTATGGAGGATTGAAGTGGTCCTTAAATGTGGATTTAAGGAGTTATAGGGCCCTTAAAGTTTAAGATATAGATCTCTTAATGACCTTATGGAAACCTGAGACTGGAATTTCGATGAAAGTTTTTTCTTCCTTTCTAGGCTAGAGGATATCGATTAAATGAAGGGGCCCGGAGGATAAGGCGCATAAGTGCAGTTATTGTCATTTCGAGAAATACGCGTTTGAAGTTTCAAAATTACATGGGTCCTCATCAGTGGCGTGGCGTGTACTGCGATGTATCGATTGTTATGCCATTTAAACCAATGGAAAAGGATCGATAAACAGGGTGTTCGCAGCGAACACCTTAATAATCGATTCTTTACCATAGGTTTAAATGGCATAACAATCGATACATCGCAATTCACGCCACGCCACTGGTCCTCGCGGCAAAAAGGAAGATCAAACTGACTTTTTGATGCTTAAAAATTGTAATTTGGGAGAGAATTTTTCACAAAATCTGTATTATGACTAGTTTTGTACCGGAAATCATTAATGTTCCATTTTTTTCAAAAACTGCACTCACGGGTCTTGTCCTGCAAGCCTCTCGAATCCTCAAGGGGCCCATAGAAACTGCATTTCAGAATTTGTTTTCTTCTTGAGGAGGATGAAGGAGGTGAGACTAAAACTTTTGGGGCCCATGCCCGTAAAATGAGAGTTTCGGAGAATCTGGGACTGGAATTTTGATTTGGAATTTTTCCAAAATTTTTCAGACAATTTTGTGCGCAATTTAATTTAAAATATCTGAAAATTTCAAAGAAATAAGTATGTGCATGAATGTCGTCAAAAATACATGTTTTATCAAGGAAAATTTGCCAACTCTCGAATGTTTATAAGGCGTTCTACCTCATCACAGCAGTAGTGTCTGAAGTTAAAGCGCCTTCACTCCCGCGCGTATGCAACAAAGACGTCCATGGAGCCCGAATAGTTGCATCCAGGCGTTACAATGAAATTCGTTCAGTTTCCATACCATGCGACACTAACTGAAGCTTTGATTGTTTTTCAAACGCCTTAATTAAATGCCAGAGTGCCCATTGTGTCCACGAAGTAAATTATTACTGATTTTTATCGCGACGTTGTCAGTTCTCCGAGAAATCCATTATTTAAATGTAATATACCGTTTCCAGCCCTCAAACCACCTCAACCAATTCAGAAATTTGAGCAATATTTGTTGAGTTTTTGTCAAATACGTCAATGAGTCTTCCTTAATTTGGATTCTCCCTTTGTAGGAAAAAAACATTTGAATGTACCTGCGAAATTTTCAAAAAAAAAAATCCTCGAAGCTATTGCTAGTTAAGGCGCTAAGGAAAATTATGATGATGTACCCTCTGGAGTTTTCCTTTATTCATCGAGATTTGCGTTTTTGGGATGAGTCTTGGCATTCTCCTTAAGAGCTTTTAAGCTAAACATGTATCTCTTTAGAAGTTTGCGCTTTTGAAATTTAGCTTTTTTGGGTACAGTCAATCTCATGACATCAATAAAATTTACTGTTTATGGCTGGATTTACAGGAATGGATTCCTGACTTCCCGTTGTATGACTCGTTTTTCTCGTGATATGAAGAAAAATTGCGTAGTGCTTTTTAATTCATTCCTTGTCTAGTGGCCCATTCGAGCAATTTTTTTTTTTAAAAACAGCTTCAGACTGCTTTTGAAACGACTCAATTTTTTAAAATTTCCCGGAGAAGCCCCCGGAAGCCTTTCGGAAGTCCTCCGAGTTCTCCTTCGGAATTGGAACAGTCGCATGGATCTTTCCGTGGTCAAGTGTCTTTATAGGCACNAGACCCACCTGTATTAGGTTTCCCTTGCCCCCCCCCTAAAAAAAATTCCTAGCTCCGCCCATTCTCTGATGCTGTCCAACCAACTGTATTTCTTTAATTTTTTTGCAATTTTCTTATTAGTTTCATAATGTTCAAAAAAATACCAAGAAGCGTTTCGGTTGGCCATATTTTAAAAATGAAAAAATTATCGGAGTTCAATAAAATTGTCGTAAAGGAGACCTTTTTTTTTTTTTTTTTTTTTTCCTTGGATGTCAACTTTTAGGGGGAGTTTTTTAGGATTGGGCCGGGGTGGCTACCGCCACCTAGAATACGAGTTTTTCTACTCAGACTTGAAAAGTATCGTCTTTCATGCATAGGTCCATTCTTGGACCGCCTACTAATGGCGTCATGAGTGATGGAGGGGGGGGGGTGTATGAAACCTATCTAAATAAAACTTTTCCCCTGGGAGGTTATTACTCATCATACGTCGAAAAAAAAAAAAGAAAAAAAAAAGTCAAATGGAAGTGAGAAATATGTAAGAACAAGGAAAGGGAAAGGTCCATTGCAGAACTTGCCACTGCGTACACGATCCTACGTCCCTTCCCTTGAGCGAGCGCTTTCTCCTTCCATAGGATTTTCTCATTGGCTCAGTTATCGCACTCCTCAACAGGGAGCGCCACCGTCGTCTTGTTATGTGTTCTGTGTTGTTTACCAACGACCGGCTGTCGGGTGTCTGCAAAATTCAGTTGCGCGTTATCACTTGCTCGTTGAAGTCACGCCACGGATATCTCTACGGGTTTCATTTTTAATATTTGCTCTTCAAGTAGTGAGTGTTTTGCAAATAACTCCGCGGAAAATACTTTGCATTTCTCTGATTAAATATTGTCTACACAAGTTTCATAACGTCTCGTTCGAGACGTACTAAGTAAATCAGTTCTCTGTTATCAGTGCTTCTGTTTCCTTTGTTTTCAATACTTTGTTTGGGTCAGGATTGTTTCACTTGTTATATCGAGGTGAGTAACATTCACTCTTAGATGTAAATGATAATTTTGATTTAATTCCTTCGTCATTATCCTAGACACAAAGATCGATACAGCGTGCGTTTTTATATTGATTGGTATTTATGTGATCGCATCATGTCATGTTTGTGTCTCCTACTAAAGTTGGTAGCGTTTGAACAAAATATGTACATGGAAAGCAAGCTTTTCGTCAAGATGGTGTGGAAGATTGCAATCAAACTTTTCTGTAACGTGTAAACCTCCTCTCAAGGGCCGTAATTTATTAGAAGCTCTTGCTTCTCATCAGATAACGGTGGTTGCCCTCACCATGAAACCTACTCATTTTTTATGTACTTAGGGTTGACAATTTTATGTATCAAATTTCAAGTACTTGAGTCAGCTTTGATCTGTCTGTGCAAGTCAGGATGTTGGTAATTCGAGCCAATGGAGAGGAAATCGGAATACCAAGTGTTTCTCAAAGAACATCTGAGACACTTAGGTCTCTTCCCATTTTTAGGCGAAGATCAATGTCAATTTTTCTGTCGAGTAGATTTTTGCTAAATTCTCTACTATCGACCTTAAGTAGATGCTCTTCTTGTTTGTTTTTCTCTGGGAAAAATGTTCAACAGGAATTTCGCCAATCGCATTCTGGAAATAGGTACTGACATTAGTTAGAAATAGTTTGGCATTAAACCAGACGTAGACTTTTTCCGGTCAAAAATTCACAGTGGAGAAGAATTATTTTTTAATTAAGTGAAATTAAGAATTAAAGTGAACATACCTAGCTTTCATACCTTTTTTGTAGCATCGAGTCTTTAGGAGGATATTATAATTTCAAACCTCTTCTTTTCAGTTCAAACTTGATGTGTTAGGTAGGTACTGTCGATCTCTGTCCTCTGATGTAAGGCGTATTTCCTCGTGAGCTCTAGAGAGTAGGTTTAGATTCATATGGAGATTAGGGCTCATGTAAAAATCAAGACACACCCTTATGCTGGAGGAGCAACGAAAATCACACAATGTTGATTGGTATAGGACATTTTTTTTTTTTTCTGTCACAGACATTACATTTTTGCTTTTTAAATTGTTACGAAGGGTCACCTAATTATTGGGAATGAAAATTGTAAGAAGATCCTTCGACCCATGCAATGAGAATCCCCTCCTTTCCTCAAAGTTTCATTAAATACATAAAAAAAACTTCAAGGAGAGTTACACTGAAGAATAGAGCGTTACAGACATTTCACACTTAGGACATGCACTTTGAGAAACAATGTTCAAATTCAATTTTCTCATCGAATAGTGATCCTAATAAAATTACAAATGCATATTGTCGGTGAAACTACTAGACCACGTATCTCATTTGCAGTGTTTAAAAATCTCCACTCCCATTTTATTTTTTATTTTTTTATTTTTTTTGAAGGAGAACAAATCAAAATCATTTCTTGAAATTTTCACTGACTTTTATTTGCATAGAGGAGATTATTTTTTTATTTTTTTTGAAGGAGAACAAATCAAAATCATTTCTTGAAATTTTCACTGACTTTTCTTTGCATAGAGGAGAAAAAGTTTTTAAGAATTGACGTTGAATAGTTTTCCATTTAAAAAATAAAGCATTTCAGAAAAACAAAGCGGCGTACCAACCCCAAAATCACTGAACGTGTGTAAGAGAACCGTAAATATGGTGTCCATGCCAATTTTGAATGAAAATGAACAAATAGATTTTGAGGTATGGTTGTACACAGAAATGAGCAGGAAACGCCGGAGGGACGTCGTACCCACGTTTTTTCAAATCTGTTTTTTTTTTCTTCCTTTTTCTTCTTTTTTTTATCCCAGGCGCCTTGAAACTCTTTAATTTGACAAAATTTAAACTTATTTTATTTATTTATTTATTTTTTTACGGCAATCAATACCTCCTCTACCCGCAAAGGAAGCGAGAAAGTAAAATGCCCTCTCGTGGTCCTTCAGCCCGTCACTCACGGTCAAACTGGATCGATGCGGGTGTTGACTGTTGAACACTTAGAAAAAACAATAGAAACGGCAAAATTTTCAATTTTTTTACCTTAAAATAGAAAACCATATGTTTCGCTGAGAGTTGATCCAGTTCAAAAGTCATCAGCCCGCGGCGGACCTTTGAACCTCAACAGCCAACACCCGCATCGATGCTCCCGGACTGAACCTCTAGTTTGCACGTGTGGAACGCGCTTTTGAAAGGCCGGAAAGGCGCATTCAACGATCTGCTCCCCGACAAATTCGGTCGGAGGAAGTTTCCGGCGAAGTTCCGCATCTCCGTTTATCAATCATCGAGTCCATTCCTTAATTTGATGAGTGTAAAGTGATCGGTAACTGGTTTGTTTTTTGGCACGGTTGACCGTCGTTGCCTCGGCTTCGTGTCGGTGAAAATGAAGCGTGAAATTAGTCCGGAGGATCATCCGATGTCTCAATAAATTTTACTAACTTGCTCCGTCCGGGCGTCCGTCCGCCGCCGTCGCACAGTGGAACGAGGCAATCTGTGAAGTCGGACTTCAAATTTTTTGACTAATGCTGCGGATTGAGATGTTTATTTTGTTAATTTTAAATTTTAGGGGATGCCTTTCGAAGAAAATATTACGCAGAAACCAAACTTTCAAGACCTTTACGATTTTGTAATAGAGTTTTCAGCTTTTAAGGTCTCTAAATTTTGTCCGAGTTCTCGGATTAATTTGTTCCACTGTGCGGCGTCGCTCCGGACGCGGACATCCACGGCGGCGATGTAAAACGTGAGTCAACACGCCGACCATTGCCGCCAATTCGTCGTCGAAGCATGGTATGACGTCTAACACCGGGGTTACCGGCTATCTGGAAAACATGGAAAGTTGGGAAAAGTAGCAACGATTGCTAAGACGAAAAGAAAGAAAGGAAACGTTTAAAAACGCGTTGAAGAGAGGACTCCTCAAGAATACTGTTAATATGTATATTTTAAGAAACCTTTTTTAAAGGATATGTTTCCCCTTTAAAAAAGGAGGTAAAGTACATTCAAACCTGCTCAGCGTTAAAAAAATCGCCACACATTTTACCACCTAAAATTTCAAAAAGCTCGTAGAATAGGAGTAATTTTTTGATTGAGGTCTTATAATTTTACCAGACGTAAATCTTACTTAAAAGATGACCGAATAGCATTTCGCTCAAAAAAAAAAAAAAAAAATTAACTGTTTTTTTAAAAAATTCTCAAGAAGTGCTTTTTTGTGTGCGTTACCAGGGAAGAGAATTTTCGGCGATCTGGGAAAGACAGGAAAAATAGCGAGTAGCGCGTCCGCTCTGGAACCTCAGCCGATGCCGATGCCATTCGAAAGAGCACAAACGACTAAAATGAAATAAAGAATATGAATATAGTATCATTTAATATAGTAATAAAAATACGGAAAATACACAAAATTAACGTGGTGTACCTACGAGCTGTGAAGAAAAAATGGCTATTCGGGACGTTTCGGGATCAGCATGAATTTTTTTCAACCGACGAAAAAATTGAAATTATGCAATTATGAGTCCCCGTTTGACAGCAAGACTAGACTTATGATAATATGTTTTTAAATAAATTTGGTACAAATTCTGAGTGCCTTTTCATTATTCTGAATCTCCAAAAGTGGATATTACGTACATTGTTCAGCAAAAGGCAGCGTGAGCAAAAGAAAAGATTTCTAAGTGTAAAGTTTTTTCAAAAGGGAAAGCCAGAAAATTCTGTGATTATGGAAGCAGGGAAATCCAGGACAGTGAAAAATGAAGAAACTATGGTAACCCTGCCATTACAACGTGCAACCCATCTTATGACGTGCGCATTGAATTCTCCTCTACCCACATACTCCTCATTTCTCTCATTCTGAAAGTTCTGAACTCGGAACGAAGTAAAACGAGTGTGATTTATCTCAACGGCTACTGAGCTAAAAGTAGCCGGAAAAATCGTAGCTCGAAAAAACTGTTTTTTCGGGCACGATCTGGCTAAGGAGTGGTCCAGCGGCGCCGGCAGTTCAGGGCGACCTGATGGACTGCCAAAAACGTGTCCGGTCGGGCTCAGGTCGGCTCATCATATCTGGAAACAAATGAGACTGATTTTACGGTTTAATTAGCGGCGGCTTGTAGTTGTAGTCGTGTCTTCTAAGTATCCTCACTTTTCGCTAATAGACCTTATTGTTGGCCCGCCTCCGCGCTCCTCCGTGCGGTGGAGCAAGTCTATCGCACTTTTATGTATTTTCGACTGAAACTGCATAATGTTGATGTTTATTTCGTCTTATTTTTGACGGGCTATTTAAACTCTAGTTTCGAAGTTTAAAAGTTTGAAACTTGGTATAATTCTCTTGAACTCTGTTCATAATTTGTCCGAGGACCAGTTTCTGTGATTTTAATTCCGCAGGGGTACATTCTGCCGTGCTAAGGAAAAACGCCGTATGAACCTTCAGGCGTTGCCAAATTTACTTTGGTTAATCACGGATTTTCTGGAAAATCTGCTAAAATTAAAATGCGTGTGTTGAAATGAGGCATGCCGCCAGTTGACGTCACCAGGCGGCGCATTTTCTCACTTTTAAATCTATTTTTATACTATTTCCCATATCAGAAAAAAAGTATAAAAAAATACAGTGAAATCAGCTCTTTTAGCACTTTCAGATGAAGCAACAAAAAATTTGCATGCAAATGGAGATGTTTCATGTGTGAGGAATTTGCGATTTAACTATTGATTCTTTTGTAAAAGTTCGGGAGAAACACGATGGTGCCACTGGTTTTCTCTGAAATCATCTCCCAAGCTCCAAAAAAGCTCTCAAATTGAGGCTAACATGGAGGGGATATCCCACGCTACCCTGAGAGTCCACCTCTACATCAAGACAAACTCTCCATGCAAAGATAGGGAGCAAATACATTGACAGAGCTGCCACTTTATTTGGGGACTCCACAACTGAAATCACGGCAACCCTGCTAATGTACTTGCTCTCTATCTTTGCATGGAGAGTTTGTCTTGATGTAGAGGTGGAGTCTCAGGATATATAGCGTGT